CTGGATATTTCCGCTGCGGAAACCCGCTTCTTGAGCCATGCTTCAGAACCTCACTGAGCTTTGAAAGTGATGTAGTCTGTTGAGGGTTGGGAGATAGTTCGTTTGCTAGCTACTCTCCTTGACATGCTAGTCGATCCTCTCGATGTCACCTTCTAACCCCACACGTAATACTGCAAGATGGTGGATCTATATATCATGTTGCTGATTGTTCACAAACATCCATGTATGCGCGTACACTATGGTTCAGGGTGTAGGTTTCTGGGGTTGTGCTTTGGCTTTTAAAAGGACGTTTGTACTTTGAGAATAAGAGAAGAGAATAGTTCGAAGGCGGTCGTTGATGTCTTCTTGTTGCCATGCAAGGCAGACTGCTCTCTATCCCTACCAGAGCCCTTTCGACCGGCTACCACTGTCCATCAGTGAGAATACGCAGTGAAGCGTTTGTTCGGACACCGGTTGGTATGACTACATTGGATGTTGATAGCAGAACGTGTATCACCCAAACAGCATGCTTAGATCATCCAGCCGCTGCTGACGCGAATGAGCACCGGTTCCGATATTCAGCTCTTCCTCATTCTCGTTCTCGCCGACCAGCAAAGAATCAGGGTTCTGTGCCCTCTCCTTGTCCATCAGCGAGATATCGACAATCTTGCCCTTGCGCTGCTGCAGTTTCAGAATCTTCTCCTCGATGCTGTCTCTGACAAAATACCGCGTAACAGACACCGGCTTGGTCTGGCCGAGTCTATGTACTCGGTCAATAGCCTGGTGTCGACACTCGGATTCCAAAACGCATCCATCACGAAGACGTGCGTGGCGTACGCGAGGTTCAGTCCAACGCCGCCTGCCTTCAGTGAGACCAAGAGGACTCGTACGCCGGGGTCGTTCTTGAATTTGGCAAGATTTGCTGTGCGCTGCATGCGCGACATGGTGCCGTCGAGGCGAGCAAAACGGATGTTGTTCCGCTTGAGCTGGGGCTCGATCAGGTTCAGCATGGCCGTCCACTGCGAAAAAACAACAGATTTCTCGGCAATTTCAGGCGACTCGGCTAGCTCAGCTACGCGCTCAACTACCATCGAGTGGCTTGGTCCACCCGGAAGTCTGGGTCCGAGATCCAGCTGTGGTTGCGGATCTTTTCCAGATCGCTAATCAGTGCAAGAATCTTTGTGCTGGTATCATACTCGCTGCACAGCCGCGTAATCTCATCCTGCTGCTCTGTATCCTGCCGCTCCTCTTGTGCCGGTTCATTCCTCGGCGGCGGCACGACGGCTGAAGCAGGCTGCGAGCTGCCACTGGATATCATGCGCTGGCTCTGCTGTATAAACGACGTAGGCAGATGCAGGATATCACGCATACCCAGCATGCCATCGCACAGCATACATCGATTAGGGAGTCGCCGTCGCTGCTGTGACAGATCGCCTCCTGCTCTGGGTTCGTTGGCACAGCGCCCAGCAGCACATGCTGGCATTGGGAACACGCCAGGTGCATGCATCTTGTGATTGCTGGGCCTGGGTAGTCAGTTGGAGCAAAGCGCGAGTGCGATGACATGGCGAATGTTGGCGGCAGTGCAAGCTCCCGGCAGTAATCGCATCTGACCATGTATCCTTGTGAGCGCTGGCGTGAGATCCATAGTTGGCCGCTGCTTGCCGACGGTTAACGTTTGGTGCGGGCGACAGAACGCGGGTGCTGATACTGTCGAGTTCTGGTTTGGCCTCAGCCTTGGCTGGCTTCTCCTCTTTCCTTTGCTACCGGCTTCTCATCCTTGGGCTGCTGCTCGGCGGCTGTGCCGCAGGCTGGCTCGACTGCTGGCTTTGCACTTGCGGTTTGCTCCTGTGTATCAATGGCCGTATCCGACGGCTAGGACCTTGGCTTTCCTTCCACTTATCTTCCGACCACAGCCTCGGGTGTGTGCACAGTTGGCGTAGACGCAAGATGATTTTGAGAATATGGATATAGTTCTTCAGCAGCGTGCCCGAGCTCGCCATCGCCTGGTACTTGTTCTTGGCGACGTCTTCAGCCATATATATACAGCCGCCGTTCCCCGGTCGGCCAGGTCAAGCCACCGGATGACCTCAAACTTGGGGGGCAGCTCCGACCATAGTTTTCTGCGTCTTAGTGTCGTATTGCTGCTTCATCCTACGCAAGCACAATGCTTGCATCAACCGCTGCACCCGGTTGGCACCGATGTTCCCTTCCTCAAAAATTCTCGAGTCCGTCTCCAGACAGCTGCCGCAGGTTCTCGTGGAACGGGCGCCAACATACGTGAGCCACACCTTCCAGTTGTTGAACGGGACAACACGCAAAAAGCGCCAGTTGACTGTAGAGGTCGTCGAGGCCGGTTCTGGATTGGTGTGCCGGTAAGGCACCATCGGCGGTCGGCGGATAGGGCATGTGCCGAATGGCTGGTTGCTGTACGGCGCTCTTTGATGGTATGAGCCTCGTCGAGCACTACACGGTGCCAGTGCACAGCCTGCAGGGGAGAGACATAGGGGGTTTCGGGGATTTGGTACCACTGCGTGTCAGTCTCCTCACTTGTGCTGTCATCAAACACCCGTGATGCTTGCGGGTCGTCGTCAGTGGTCACGGCAACCATTTGTTTGGTCTCCGTGGTGTACTCACTGCGCAAAAACATCGTAGGTAGTCAGGACAATATCGTACTGACACAGACGCTTGGGATTGCGCACCCGCCTGCTGCCGTGGTAGGACAGCACACGCAAGTTTCCTGGCAGAACATGCAGGGCTAGCTGCTCCTCCCAGTTGGCCATGGTGGACAGCGGGCAGACAATCAGCGTGCCACCTGCGTACCGGCCGTGGTAGTTCTCGTCAAATGTGCGCTCGCACTGCTCCTTCTTCTTGGTCATCATGTTCTCGTACTCTGGCGGCGGGTGTCATCGGGCGATTCACAGACAGGTCGCTGTCGCTGCCCGAGTCCGAATCCGGATCCTCATTAGGCGACTCGCTAAACGAGCTAATGTCGTCGCGGTAATCAAAGTCTGCGTCGGGTGTCGGTATGTCAGAGAGATCGGACGAGCCGCCTGCGTCGGAGCTTGAGCCAGCATTGTGGTTTATGAGGCCAGATTTGCGCGGTGGCAGCAGCAGGGGGTCAGCAACAAAGCCCTCTTCCTCGGAATCCGATAGCAGGTCGTAACTTTGCCCACGGCCTGCCAGGGTCGGTCCATCCATGCTCAAGAAATCGTCGCTGTCATTCCCGTCGCCTTCGCCGCGATCGGGCTCCTTGCCTTTGGCCGATCGTATGGCTCTCTGTTGCTTCGCCGATCGCCCACCTGCAATCCTAGCACGACCACGCTGCCGTTGCCGCTTCCGTCTGCTCATTCCGCTACTCGACGTCTGTGTCTGACTGCCACCATCGTCAATGAACTTCATGCGGTGGCACCGCTTCAGCTGGCTTGGCAGCTTGAGAACCAGGGAGATAATCGAAAGCGTCTTTCCAAGGCCCATATCGTCGGCCAGGATGCCGCCAAGCACCGACTTGGGCATCTCCAGACACTTGATATGCGTCAGCACGTTCTTATAGTGCTGCTGTCCGGTTCTCTCCAATGTCCCGGCGATCGGCATCCAGAGCTTGGGGAACTTGTGCTTTTCTGCAGGTGCAGGCTCCAGTGACCCGATATCAACGCCGTGGGTTTCGCGGTGCTCCATGAAATAGAGTGCTTGCTTCTGGTGGCGCTTCAACAGCGTCAGGACCTGGCGTGGCTGAGTGCTCTCTGGCAGATCCAGCAGTGTGACAAATGTCGATTTGATATTGCGCAGCCGCACCTTTGGGTCTCCATCAGTGCCACCGCCGGGCCGTTCGACGCGCAGGTTGGCCGGTAGGCTGGGGCCGCCGCCACCTGGCCGACGCATCCGGTCTCTGTACCGCTGGTAGATGTCCGAGTAGCCTGTGCCCATGCTGCCATCTACCCGGATCGGGTGCAGGCCCATATCGGCAAACACGCTCGGCATGGACACGTCAGAGTTGTTGCGGTCAGCCATTAGTCCATCTTCCGCGTACATCGGGTCGCTGTAGCGATAGTTTAGATGCTGCGTAACCGGATTGCATTGCGCGTCAAGCTCTCTCAACAAGCGCTGTGCTTCGTCTGATGACTGGTCGAGGTAGATGTTGGACTTTTCGAGTGCCTCAATGATGTCGCGGGCCAAGCTCTGAACCACGTAGAACGACAGGACGATGCCTGCCACCACCTTGTGCTTTAGTGGGCCCTGCATAACGCCAGTGACCTTGAGCAGGTCGTCCTTCAGTAGTATATACACTGTACGGGCCACAGCTGCTTCCAGGGTGCCGACCAGGCTGCCATGCTTGTCGAAGAGATCAACTTCCTGCGATGTCCCTGGGTGCATCTGCAGCACGATAGGAATGCTCATTTGCACGCCTTCGCGGAAGTAGATTGAAGTGCTCGATATCATGGCTACGGCACGCAATTGTCCCAGCATGCACAGCCGCGATGTCTCAGGTGGTCGAGGTGTGTTCTGTCTAGGTGTTGATGGTGACTGGTTGTTGGAATATGGTAGTTGCGGCAGGGTAGTATGCGGCCGCGATGCTGTTCGGCTTGTGCTGTTCGAGTATGGCTGCAGCGAAACAGGCGGTTGTGGTGACCGTGGTCGGATCTGTGACGGGCTGGCTGAGTAGGGGGCGAATCCGGGCGATGTTGTGCTGGTGTGTGTCATATAGACGCTCTGTAGTCTGGGTGTGATTGTCCTAGCCGGTTGGTGGGACTGTGGCTGCGGCAACCCCACCGTCTATCACAATAAGCAGCAAATATAGAAAGACACGTTTAGCCTGTGGTAGTTGCATTTTGAATTTGCCCTGTGTGCCTGTATACCTACCGCTGCAGTGTCTGGTCTGGGTCTCTTTGCCCTGCGCAGCTTCGTCGGTGTATGCTGCATTCTTTCTGGCGCATCGCCGGTTGGCGCCGGACTGTCAGGGACATGGACCGGTGAGTCTGTTAGCTCAACAACACACTCTAGCTGCGACTGGCTGTCGTCGAGACTGATCACTTCTACTGCATTGCTCTGCCGCTTCCGTTTGAGCCCTCGTACAGGTCGTCTGTCGCTGGTATGGAGGTCGACAGGGGGTTCCGAAGGCTCGCGTGTAAGGTCGTGTGTTTCCGCCCCGGCGCTATGGGTGGCGGTGCTATCGCCCTCGTCCTCAAAGGTCAGGTCTATTACGTTCATTTACAGGTGGAATTGGTAGCTGTGTGTAATAAAATTTAATTGAGGGGAAAGGGAGAGCAAAAGTAGGGAATTTGGGAACCCAAGAAAGCTAGAAAATATAAAAAAAAAAGTTGAGACGTCGAAACGGCGGCTGAGGCCCAGCGACCAAACAAAGTAGAAGAATAAAGCACGCAATCATTTGCCCCACGCTCCTCTCCTCTGCCTGGCTAAGCGTTTAGGGTGCGAACAATGTCGCCGACGTTGCCCGACGTTCCGTCACCGATCTGCAGGTTGGCCAGATGGCGCACCGGGCACTTTACCGTGACGATCTGTCTGCCGGTGTTGAGCGCCGACTGCTTCATCTTTGTACGGTAGTCTGACTGCAGCTCGACCTCCAGGTTCATCTCGCCAATGCCAGCATCGTGCAGTCCGCAGCTCTCAACCAGGCCCAGAAGAATGGGTGGCGGGCCGCGCTTGACGTCGTACCGGATGGTAATCGGCATACTGATCTCGGCGATCCGTCTGGCGGGCACCCTAATGCTGCTGAGGCGACCGCCGCCGAGGGCGAATTTCGTGTCTGGCCAGAATACGGCGGAGCTGATGTCGTCAATGTACATATCAAAGTAGTTGTCGTTTTGGACGCGATAGGTGAGGTCAATGTGGAACTGCAGTTTGGATCCCTGCAGCTTGAACCTCTTCTCGGACATTTCCTGGGACGACACGTTATGCAGGGCGATAGTGGGCGTGCGGGGGTTCAAGAAGTATCCTGCCAGCGAGCAGCCCAGTATCACAAGGACTGCCAGAACTGCATACATGACATACACGACGATCCGCTTGATGCGCCGTTTGCGCAGTGCATCCTCGAACTCCTCGTCCAGATCATCCTCCATGAGATGGTATGCAGCGTCGTATGGCGGCGGCATCTGCTTCTCGTTCGGCCGCTTTGGGCTCATAGGCGGCATGCGGGGGGAGATGCGACTGCGGCGGGACCCCGAGCCCGAGCGGCTGTGGTGGTCGCGGAGCCCGGGGGCCGCGGCTTGTAGCTGTCGGGAGAGCGGCGGTGGTTGGTGCTGAGGCCGCGGCGTGGACCCATGTCGTGGTAGCTGTCGAGCGAGTGCACAGGCAGTGGACGCGTTGGACGGCCCGTGGGAGGAGACTTGTGCACGCGGCTGCGGGAGCGGCGCGGGTGTCCGCTGCTGTCAAAAGTGAACAGATCGGAAAACTCGCTGCGTGAGAACGAGTCTTGTTTGTGGTGTGAGCTGCGGCCAGTCATTCTTTCAGAGATAGAAGATGTAGTGTCTCTCCTTTCCTGCCAGGAGATGTGCGCAGGATAAAGATGCAAGTGTCGAATGCAGATAAGAAAGGAGGGAACTGGTGTGGTGCTCTGAAGGGCAATATGTGGTCAAGGTAATTTTCTGGTCGGGCGGCACGCGGAATAGGGTCTATAGTTCTCAGGTGTTTCTAGCGCATATGGCGGGTATATTAACAATTTCTCTGGATAAAATGTGGCCGACAGGTGCTGTCCTCCTGGGAGGCGGAGTGCTAGTTTTAGGGTTCACGAGACACACGGGGTGGTTGTTCATCCGGACCCCTGGGTAGTGTGCAGAAAATATAACGTGTCCAATGGGCTCCACATGGAGCACAATCGGTGCTTATTCACAGCCATCTCATATAACCTGAACCGGCGCAGGCGCTGTTGCATGCCCACACGGCCGTCGGTATCAGTTCCAAATGTCAACGGCATGTCGATAGCATATATGGTAATTGCAGTCTGATCACCAAATCCTGATCAGCTATTTTTTCTCTCGTTTTTTTCGGCAGATCGGCTGCTAGCAAAGAAAAAAAATGCAGGTTGTTCTATTTCCCTTCACAAACAGTATATAGAAATTGCAGAAATGGATGGCGACGCGGCACAAATTCAGATTCGGCTGGTAGCCAAGCAGGAAAAATATGCGGTTTCGGACGCCCCGATGATGGTGCCGCAGAGTGTGCAGCGGTATGGGCTGTCAGAGATCGTGAACCACCTTCTCGGGAACGAGAAGCGGGTGCCGTTTGATTTCCTGGCCGACGGACAGTTCCTGCGCGGCACCATTGCGTCGTACCTGGAGGAGCACAGCCTGTCGGCAGAGAACATCCTGACGCTCGAGTATGTGGAGTCGATGCTGCCGCCGACAGAGATCGCCTCGTACAGCCACGACGACTGGATCAGCTCGGTATCGGCCTCGAGTTCGTCAAGGTTCGTCGTCGGCTCGTATGACGGCGTGGTGCGGGTGTGGAATGCGCAGAGCGAGTGCGAGCAGGAGCTGAAGGTGCATGACTCTGCGGTCAAGTGTGTGCAGGCGGTGGATGGACACAAGGTTGAGTTCCTGTCGGGCTCTCAGGACCGCACAGCAATTGCGTGGGGAAACAAGAACGGGCAGAAGCGGGCACTGTATGCGGCGCGTGGGCACACGGACAGCGTGGAGGGCGTGGCGGTGAACCCGTCGGGCACGCACTTTGTGACGGCGTCGGCAGACGCAACAATCCGGTTCTGGAGCCTGGCGGTGCCGAAGGAGTCAGAGCAGGTCGGCGAGCAGCCGCAGGCGAAGAAGCGCAAGGGCAGCCGGATGGGCGAGGTGGTGACGAAGGCGGCCATCGGCACGCTGGCGGGGCATGTTGGCGGGGTCACATGCGTGTGCTTCAACAAGGACCAGGAGTCGCAGGTGTTCTCGGGCGGCTGGGACCACTCGGTGCGCGCCTGGGACGTCGCGTCGGGCGTCAACCTGTCGACAAATCTGTGCGATAAGGTGGTGCTTGATCTGGACTACTCGGCGCACTCGAAGCTTGTCGCCACGGGCCATGCGGACCGCTCACTGCGGCTGTGGGATCCGCGGTCTGACGACAGCACCGTGGTGAAGCTGAAGCTGACGAGCCACAAGGGGTTTGTGTCGGGCGTCGCCTGGGCGCCCAAGTCGGCGTATATGCTGGCCAGCGCCTCGCATGACGGCACAGTGAAGGTGTGGGACATCCGCAGCCGCACTCCCCTGTATACGGTGGCGGCCACCGACGCCAAGGACAAGGGCAAGAAGCTGCTGGCGATCGATTGGCACAACGAGCTGTTGTTGACGGGTGGCGAGAGCGGATCGCTGAGGATCCACTCGGTCAACAGCCAGTACGATCAGGAGTAGCACAGTCCAACAATTTCCAGTGAATAGTATAGGCGAATAAACATCACCGGAGCACGGCCAAACAGACTGCGGGCGTGTTGCGGCAGAGATCACTCGCCCTCCCCCGCACCGCTGGATGTGTAT